CGTCTGCCGACATTGATGTGTATTCTCACCAGCTGATGTGAGATAACCCCAACGCTAGTAGCTGCCCAGCTAATGTGCTTCGAAGTACCAATAACTTCGCCAGGCTTGTCCCAGTTGTGCGCCCTGAAATGCAGGCTGTGCCATGATCGCCACACCATCCGTGGTGGTTCTTGATGAGCCGACCACCGGGCTTGATCCGGTCAGTCGGCGCGGCATTTGGCAGACGATCGCGGAGGCTGTGCCGCCGTTTTTGTTCAGGGATTTCAACATGCTGCTGTGTGCAAGTGCAGGGCTTGGCATTGAGAGTTTTGAGGCTTAGGCGATCTTCAAACACTACAACACATCGAAAGATATCTTCGGTATCCCGTTCAGCTTGACGGCTCCGAATCCCATGCTTGCAAGTGGCTCAAGCACGCTTGGGCCTGAACAGTGCGGCAGCGCGCCCTCCAGCAGCCTTGCTCTCAGATGTAAGCTTCGCTTGCATAAAGAAGGCTCTTGCACGCTACTGTATGGATCGTGCTGTTCAGGGTGCACAACAAGGCAAAACGTGCTCGAGTAGTCGTGATGTTCACGATCGTGATGATGACGGCATCATCAGCGTCACCGTGTTCAATCCCGAGTGCTCTAACTACTGCTATACTGCTAAACCCAAACATCGATGTGAGTTCAGTCAGAAGGGCAGGAAGAGTAGCAGTGATTCTCACAAGAACAGCAGCAAAGCGGCAATGGACGTGAGAAGGCTGAATGTGATTAGTGTGGACTACAGATTATGAGCTTACAGACCATGGATGGGTTGCACATGGATGTCCATGACACAGCTCCACCTGGTCCCCCTGCCCTCTACACTCAAAGGCTCTGGATTCTTCGTAAGCACCACAGGTTATGTAAGTCTAAGTTGGTGTCATAACCCACCCACAAAGTCCCAAAACCCAAAACCCTCAGCCCTTTATGGTCTGAGTTTGATGTTTGGCTAAATCTGTTTATTGTTTTACGGATTTTCTCTGACATGTGGAGCACTGGTTTTGGATGTCGCTTAATCGCTCTATTCAACCTCGCCTGTGAGCTTTGTTCTCTGCCATGCGAGAGGGAAAAAACCCACCCACGAAGTCCCAAAACCCAGAACCCTAAACCCCGGAAGACTGCGTACCCCCTTGGAGTCCCCTCCTTCTCCCGTAAACTCTGTCGAAACTCCCTGCGGTGCGACTTGGTCAGCTGGGCGGGTGGGAAAAACCCACCTCCGAAGTCCCAAAACCCTAAACCCCAAGCCTAACCCACCTACGAAGTCCCAAAACCCTAAACCCTGAGCCCTAACCCGCCCACGCAGTCCCATGATAACCCAAGAACTCGAGACGTGAAGTGTGGGAGTTCCACCTTGGCCACTCCGACTCGGACCTCAAAGCTGGGCATGACCCCACGAAAAACTGGAATGCAAGCCGAAGAGGACCATCGATAATAGACCGATTACAAGTATACATGGCAACAGTTTCGATAGAAAATCTGGAAGAGTGCATGTAAGAGCACAGCATTCATGGAGAGCCAAGAACCCCGACCTCGATGGATCTGAGCAGTTGTCGGAAAATCTCGACAAGCAAAAGAGACTGCACGAAATACGTCTCGGGATAGACCCCTGCATGAAGCATCGTGCCGGAGAAGGAGCACCGGAATAAAGAGAGCGAGAAATCACGACAGAGACAGCGCCTCAAGAGAGGGGGAGGACATGTGTGTCCGCGTGCACGCTCATGCGTGCCTTCAGTTTGGCACGCTTGTCACCGCGAACGCGCGTGACAATCGTAAGGCGCATGATGCTAGATCATGCTTATTGTTTGAGCTTCAGCATGTCTGTTGTGTTCGTTGTGTTAGACATGGGCACATACTCACATAATAACAAGCAGGTCATCAGACAGAAGCAGATACTGGTAATGGTGGATGTGCCTGTTAGTTAGGGTACACGGACATGTGTCTGCATGTATATGCAATAAATAAATAACTAACTAACTAAATAAATAAATAAATAAATAAATAAATAAATATATATATATATATATATGCGCACGAAAATGCATGTGTTCCTTCAGTTGAACACGTTATTGCTGCAAGGTGTCCCCATGACCCCGGAGCCTGCGGTGAGCTCAGCAGCGGGGCGGCGCTGTGCCACCGCAGTGCTGGCATCATGCGCGGTGGGGGCGGTTTTGGCGCCAGAGGCATTTTTAGGGTTTAGGGTTTAGGGTTTAGGGTTTATAGGGTTTATTGACTGGATATGAAACCCTAAGCCCGAAACCCTAAACCCGAAACTGAAGGTTTCCACTGAAAGCCCCTGTGTGGGGTTTGCAGGCCTGACGCTTGGGGGTGTCAAATGCTAGGGGCCCTCTCAACTATCCCTTGGGCCCTATAGCCGCCGAAGATCACCGGTCTAGACGTGTGGGGCCGCATCGTATTGAGCTGGTTCGTGTGGTTTAGAGGAGTATACAGAGCTTTAAAAGAGGAACATATGGGAGTTTCCGAAAATTAGGGGTACCTTATTTTGGGGTCCTTATAATAAGGATCCTATTATTTAGGGTGCTACATTAGGGTCCCCTATTTTCGGAACCCCCCATATCTCCGAAGGGAGCATGGGTCAGAAATCCGGCATGGCCTTTGACAGTTCTGTGCCATCAGGGGGCCTCCAGCGCAAGCTTCGTGCAGCTGCCAGTGACTGCAGGCACACAGACGAACCCAGAGAGTTAATATAGGCAATTCGAATTGGGTTTGGGGTATATTAGAGTATACTTATATGGAACCTCAAAATCCTATTCTACTTGTTAGGGCCCCTACATGACACAAGCCGTCTTCTCCTTGTGGCCATGGTGGTGACAAGGACCCTTATAACAGTTCTGCTGCTGCGACCTCAACACCCTTGAATTGAGAGCGAGGTGTTGTTCTAAGCTTCCTGCAGTCGCAGATCATCTAGCAGCATCAATAGCAGTACTGTAGCTCTTCGAGGTAGTGGTGGTCGTGGGTGGCCGTCAGAAGAATGGAAGCTTCAGTCCTGCTGCAGTTCCCGCTGCTCAAGTGTCGAAACTCTGAAACCCTTAAGCCCAAAATCCTTTTCGTGATGCTGTGTGTCACTTAGTCCGACGGCGCATCCAGAAACCTCGCCTGGCAAGTCCGAGTTGTGAGAGCGTGAACAAGCCCCAATAACAAATCCTGTAGCTCAGACCATGTGGGGGTTTCCGAAAATAGGGAGCCTAATATAGTACCCTAAATAATAGGATCCTTATTATCAGGAGCCCAAAATAAGGTACCCCCTATTTTCGGAAACTCCCATGTGACAACCATGTTTGAGTTCTCGCCCATTGGGCCGTCGTCGCGACCCTTGCCACTGGGGTGTCACCAAAAGGATAGCTCACGTAGGGGGTCCTTCTGCGAAGCATCCCAGCATCTACTATCTAGGTTAGATGTGATTAGGGCGCTTCTTTTCTGAAAACCTTAAAAACCTTCGTCGGGTCAACACCGCGATGATGACCTCTCAGGAGTGTAGTGGGAATTTGGGGCTTTGACCTTAGTCGCCTTCGCCTAGTCTTACATAGGTCACTCTTTGAATTGCCAATGGCAAGAAGCTCCTTGGGGTCCTTCAGCGCGTACCGACCCAAGAGACCTCGTCTGGCAGTGCCCAATTTGCGAGAGCATAAACCAGCCCAACATATTGTTTGTTCTCTAAACAAGACCTTTGGGTGCCGTACCATTTTGGGGCCCCAAAAGGGGGACCCTAATTTGTAGAACTACCCATATCCCAACACCTTGCTGTAGGAATGAAGGTGCCAGATATAAAGCGGGCTAGGTCGACCTGTGCCGCTCCATCCACTTCACCAATCCGCCAAACGTGCTTCCTCGGGCCACGCGCGGGGTTCGGCCACTTGCCTGTTGTTTTCATGCACTTTCTCCACATAGCAAGGGTCGTTGCCTTATGGGGCATGTAGAGCTCATAATTTGGCTTACAGTATGTCTATGTGTACAGTGTAAATGACGAGACTTTGACGCAGGATGACGAGGGCTGGAGGTTGTCTTGCAATCTCTCGTCATTGAAGTACACAGGCTTTCGGCTGAGTCAGAAGTACGAAGTACGTAGCAGTCCTGTCTTGAAAAGCTGAGTGTAAGATTTTTGGTCATGGTCGCAAGATTTCACTTTACTGCTCGCAATACACTTCAGGGTCATAGCATCATACCGGAACACCCTCAAGTCCCAGACCCCGCGTGAGCGCCGAAACCCGTATTGCATGTCCGAGAGTGAGTGCTGAAACCCTTGTTCATGTGCACATCCGGTCCCAGTTGGTATGTTGGCATGGCAAGCTCAGACTGTCCGAAGCTACAAGACCCAAACCACCCCCAATCCCTATAAGCAACAAACTCCATAAGCCCGAAACCCCAGCATCCCTAAACCTATCGGCCCTAAAACCAAGGGTGTGTGCCAGGCTGCCCTGGTTGCGGGCGCACTCGCGGCAGTTGCTGCGGGGGCGGGTCGGAGAAGAGTGGGATGCTCCGCAACCGAGCCCGAGGTGGTGGAAGCAGGCAACTTGCTGTGATCCATTCATATGTTGAAGTGGAAACCTCCGCCATCTCAAAAAAGATCGGTTGAGAGCAATTTCTGAGCTTTGTTCGTTCGTTCCTGTTGTGCTTGATGCCCCTGTCAGGTGACGTCGAGATGGAAGGCTTTAGCAGCCCGGCTAGCTCTGGAGGGATGAGCGCGGCGCGGTAGGCAGATATCCCTCAATATCGGCCTAGCAGGTGGTGAGCTCGACTTGCAGGACAAGACACAGTGGGGTTATAAGTAGGGTAAACTATGAGTATAAACCAAATTAGGGGAATTATGACCCCGGCCCACTTAGAACTTCCCCTCCGCCCGGAGTGCTCACCTCAGCTCCGCGCCACCGGCAGGATAAATACCAGAGTCCCTTACAAATAGTTGCAGCACGCATGAAGGAAGTCTCGCCCAAGAAAGCACCCTCAGAACCCTTCGTAAAGTCTGTAGATGGCAGGGAGCACGATTCCCTGAAGCAGAAGACCGGCAGAGAGCCTCGAACCTCAGAAGGTCTCAATACTACCAAGCTTCATCTCTCAACTCTGAGTTTCCTTATATATAGATACCCTGCAGTTTGAGACGTCAACTGCAAGGTTCCATGACGCCCTTCGGCGAGGGTGAGCAGCTTCCTGTGCGTGTCTACGAGGGTGCCGAGGAGGTAGACATGAGCGAGAAGCAGGAGCGGCGCTGAGCGGTGAATGTCAATGTGGGAGTCTAAGGAGTGCCGGTATGGAGATTTCTTTGTATGGGGAAGACGTGGAGTGCGTCAGCAGAAGAAGACGGCATTGACGTTATGAGATCAAGTGGCACCAGAGCAAAACGAGAAATGTGAAGGAAGGCTTGCGAGCAATTCATGTTTAGGGTTTAGGGGGTTTATGGCAGAAGAGGCAATGCTGGCAGTCATCAAGTCCGGTTTCAAAAGGTTGATGTGCACTGCTTCACGGCGACGCCAGTTCCGGGCGAGAGAAGCATGCTGCACAAAGGTTGATGTGAGCCTTTTCTTTTGAGGAGCGCCCTTCCGGATCCAACGAAGACTCCACCTACTTCTGGAAGATGACGCAGGACAAGAGACAGCTCGAGGCCCTTCTTGCGAGTGCATGCGGTAAAGGAAGGCCTTGATTTTGTGGGGTTTGTGGTTCTTCTAGAGGGTTTTCAGAAGGGATGTATGACCACGTCACTTAATCGTTCGATGTCGTTTGAGGATCTACTATAGTAAACTATAGCATAACTACGCCGGTATCAGGGAAGACTGTTCCATATCAGTCCCACTCACCGAGATCTTCCCCAAAAGCCTGAAACCCTAGGCTCTAAACCCCCTAGGTTTGTCCTAACAAGGTGGGAGGCCAGCAAAACCCCTAAAGGAAGGATGCCAAGCCCCCAACGACTTTCGCCTGCAGCTCACAGCTTCGAGGACTCGTTTAGGGTTGAGGTTTAGGGTTTAGGGTTTAGGGTTTAGGTTCCACGAGACGGGGTGGCCCTTCTTGGTACCCAGGCATGAAGGCAGCTTTGCAATCCTGAGGTCATTGTTCCTGTCGATGACTCCGTGCAGGCGAAAGACGTGGTATATCGTCTCGGCGAGGCTTCGAGGGCGGGCGGTGGGAGGGCTCCCGGGCTCGGCCCTGAAACTTAAGAGTCTAAACCCCAAACTCCTGCAACAGAATTAAGAAGATCCTAGCCCTAAGCCCTCTTGTGTAACCCTTATGGAACTTTGCAAGTTCCTATAGCAACCCTTTCAGGGATTCCTGTAAGCTGCAGAGATGTCGAGGGCCCCTCGGACTTGAGATCCGCGCCGCAGCAGGATCCGGAGGACTCCATGCGAGGGCCTCTGCTTCAGCTCGGCCATCGCTACAAAGGCGCGATCCTGCAGGTAGGTCGTAATACTCGCACTCGCGTAGCATTCAGAAGTATGGCTTTAGAAGTCTGATTCTTTCTCTACTTAACGACAGCAAGCAATGCCTGTAATGTTACAAGGAAAGCACAAATATTGACAGGACTAGCGTTTGTAGTAATTCTTAGAGTAGTGTCAGCAGTGGAAGCTTCATGCTGATCCTAACCAGCTAATGGAAGTAATCTAGTGGTGTCAGGAGCAGTGATAGTAGTAGTAGTAGTCGTCGTCGTCGTCGTCGTAGTAGTAGTAGCCGCGTCAGAAGTCCTGGTGGTAGTCCCAAGCCTTGCTACTCTCCCGCGTTTTCGGCAGTTTGCATTAAGAAGGTCTTAGCTTCAGATCTTAAGTCTCCTGCGACTGACGCCGAGATGAAGACGGACGTGCTAGAGAGAACCTCCTCATCAACGGCCAGCTTCTGAATGCCGTCCGCAGGCCAGAGCCTCCGACACGGTAAGTCTGGCTCCCCATGGTTTACATATATGTGGGAGTTTGCGAAGAGAAGGGGTACATTATTTTGGGGTTCTTATAATAAGGATCATACTCTTTGGGGTGTTATATTCGGATCCCCTTGTTTCGGAAACCCGTTTACACATATACATCACACACACGCACATACGCATACGCACATGTAGAAGTGTATGTGCACGCGGCACGCACACACACACACACATGATGCATACATACCAGAGTTGATGTACATGTGCGTGCACGTATACGCATATGAGAAATGATATATATATATATATGGGTACATACTTACATGCATACAATTACCATATACATGTACCTGTACATAAACAGACCACTGTAGGTCCCAGAGATGAGGCCGCAAATCCCAAGTCCCGAGCATTGAAGCTTTCAGCCGCTTCAATCCTAAACCCCAGGCCCCAAACCCTAAATGCCTCGCCTGGATCGTCGTGAGCGCTGAAACCCTCGGACCCTCAGCATTAGTGTCACGCCGACCCGAACCTACGGACCCTTGCCTGGCCAGTCCGAGTTGTGAGAGCGTAAAGCCGGGACCTTAACACCCACATGCTAGACCTCAAGCCCCAGCATGAGTAGAAGCTGCAAGCGCTCTGCTGAATTCTCAGCGAATTCTTGGAACATGTAGACCCAACTCGGCCCGCAGGGAAGAGTGCTTCTGGATTCTGGACGAGATGGTCGGTGTCAAGGCTCCATGCTCTGCGAACCGTGTGGTACTCATGGCGTTCGAAGTATGATCAGTGTGCAGAGGGTTCGTATTATTCGCGTTAGTATTCGCATGACATGCATTTTTGGTCGTGCGGCGTTGCTATTGTCAATTTTTCTGTCGTCATCATTACAAGCGTAGACGTTGCTGTGGATACTTCTGCGGTCGGAAGATTGAATACCGCCTCATGACGACAGTCACATTCATGGATTACGGCATGCTGCACGATGTGGGAGTATATTGGGGTCCTTGCAATAGGGATCCCACTATTTAGGGTACTATCTTCGGGTCTCTTGCGGTTCATCTTTGCACCGCCTGGGATGGGCAATACCCGTTCGTCCGCGCATGCTCATGTGCTCTTCGTTGCTGGCATTTGCCAAGCGCAACGATCCTTGCTTGAGGTCTTAGGGCTCTGACGTAGGCGTCGCCTGTACACTCTTTGTATTATACATGTGCTTCTGCTGCTTTCTTGCGGCATGATGTTTCACATAGTCTTTCGCTGCTGACCGCAAGACGGTTGTTTCAGGACTCTTACTGCGGTCCCCTATTTTCGGAAACCCTAAACCGTAAACCCTAAGCCCCCATGGGGTTCCCTGCGCATATCTTCTGCCCAGGTCATCATACTGACCGTGACGAGACCCAGCATGAAGAGGCGCCCGCCTTCGCCGTTTCGAGCCGAAGCTAAAGGCCATAGTGTAGATATCTGAAGACTTAGTAGTACGGTTTAGGGTTTAGGGGGCGCGACATGCAAGCCTGATGTAAAAAACGGGTTTAGGGAGTATCCCGTTGTGGCCTCCATATACATGTGAAGTTATATTTAATATGCCCCGAAAATGGCTGCTCGAGGGCTTGGTCATCGTTTGCCTAGCAAATCGAGCTCCTTACACGCGTATCCCAAAGCACCTAGCCCTAAACAGTGGCAACAAAGGAATCTGCCGACACCCGTGTCAGACTACGAAATCCCTCAAATTAAAACCACGACACTGAGCGCAGTGGTGGTGGCTTTGTGTCAGGTTTCGACATGACCCCATCCTGAAGAGGAAGACCGAAGAGGACAGAACCTAAATTGCAGGCTTTAGGCAGGTTTCTGAGATCCAGGCGGCATGTACAAGTCTGTGCAAAAATGTGCAGAAGGATGCATGAGTCTTCTGTCAAGTTCTTGTCAGGGAAATCCAAGTGCTTCAAGCGTTGGTCCTGCAATATGTGTCTTTGCGACGACCTGGCTGCTTGCGGTTGTCCTGCATCCGGAGAGCATTGACTTGTGTTTGCCTTAAACCCTAAACCCTAAACCCTAAACCCCAAACCCTAAACCCTAAACCTTCGGGAAGCCGCCCAAAGATCTCCAGCGCCCAAAAGGAGCGAATCGAGCCACAGACCTGGGATGCTCTCTTGGCGGCTTCACCGCAGCTTCGGGGTTTCGTCGCTGCTGGGTAGCGCCTTACATTTTTAAGAGTAGTTAGACTCTGTGAGGAATAGAAATTTAAATGATTATGTCAACCATGAACTAGTAACAGGCAGCAAGAGGATCCTGTGTGCGTGGATGTCGGGTAGTTTTTGTCTGTGCCGGACACGAGGCCTGCCTTATGATTGCTGCCTCGGTACGGGTTAAGAGGAAGTCTCGCATTTCGAGTATGAGTGTGGAGGCTGTGTACCGAGCTGCGGCAACGCATGGATTCGGGCAAAGTGTCGGGGAAAAGTAAGCCTCCATGAAGTCCCTCCAGCAGCTATGCCAGTGAGTAGTTCAAGCGAAGGCTTGGGCCCTCCCTAGACAATTTCGACACCCTGTGGGGGTTTTGGCAGTATCATGTTCATTGTCGCATGGAGTTTCCAGAAGATGGAAGATCTTAACATGTAATCTCTGAAATATCTTGGAAAGACAGAAAACAAAACGCAACATGAAACAACTAAACGGTGAACGTAGCACCCTTGCAGCAACCCAACAAACACAACTGGAAACCAACCAGGAACACGAAACGATAAACGAACACACACACACAACAGCACGGAAGCAAACAACAACAACATGGCCAATCAACAGAACAACTCACCCGCTTACGTTTCTATTGCGTTCTTGCATGTGTGTTATTTTGCTTGGATTTCTTTAGTGTCGTTCCTTAACCACAATGCAAGCCCTTAAGCCTTCAACAGTCGCATCCTTATTGTAAGGGACCCCCCCAAAACGGACCCCAACTTAACAAACACCCTTCTGTCATGCCTCAAGCCCCAAGCACGACGGAATGCACTTTTCGTAGTTTGGGGTGCTTCTTTCCAGTTTGCTTGTGGAGCCGGTACAGCCACTCGTAGTTTTCCTGACGTATGCAGATACATTGCACTTAAGCACTAAATGCGTAAACCCCATCTCTCCTTCGAAATGTCGCGGCACGAGCGGTTTCTTCGAAAGGGGGTCCCTGTCTGTCCTCTTATAAACTTCTTCGGGTCTGGATTATACTCTGAAGGTCGGTCCTACCTTTCTCCTGAACGTAATGAGACCCCCAAACCAGGTGGAGGATCGCATAAAGCCCAACGTCACCAACAAGGTTTTCATGGATATCGAGCTGGATGGTGCGAGGCTGAGACCTCCTTCCCAGATCAAAGGGCCGAATAGCTGATACTCAACCCTAAGCCCGTGAGCGCCGAAACCCTAATATACGGGCCTTAATGATTAGAATAGGGTTTGGGGTGTATTATACTATGACTATAATAAGGACCCCCC